TAGGCTGTGCTGTTCTTCCTGAGGCTTTAACCTTACGGTTAGATCCAGGGGCAGCCTAATTGGCAGTTGGTCAGAGTTAAAGATCATAAGCTTTGACTGGCATTGCCTTCACTGCTGAATCTCATAGGCTCACTCGCACTGTTAACTCTCACTTACTGAACTCAGCAAAATGAGACCGCTAAATTGAGTTATTTTGACATCCGAGTAAGGTCCCGGACATTCTGTTGCCCGCTGTTAAAATTATTTGGATCAAACTTTGACTTTATTATCGCATATTCATTAAACCGACAGAGATGAATGTCATCATGTTTTCTCTTTCCAGATGTTGAGAGGACTAGGCTACAACATATTTTCAAAAAAAGGAATCTGTAAAAATGAATCATGCAGACTGCAAGCTGTGGCCATGACGAGTGGCAGAGCGGTGGTCTGTCGGAATGTGCAACTGGGAATTTACTTATTGTGACAAAATGCATTTGTTTCTTCGTAATACCTGTAAGATTGATGTGGAAAAGTTTTCTTGATTTGTTATTTCATGACCATCTTTGTAAAGATGTGTTTTAAAACATTTTAAAAGATCTTAACTATATGAATTCGTTGATATTTTTCAGGTACTTAGTGCCATTTTATCACACAGTCAAATAACTGTCACAGTCGGTTGTTATGAAAATGCTGTACATTTGAAAAACAACCTGAAAGAAGTTTGACTTTGTATCAAAGCCATTTCTGATGCCTTGAAATTGGCTTCTGTTTCTTTAAGAACCCCTTACATTTTCCTACACGCCCCCTTCAGCATCTCATCACAACAGTTCTTCTTCATGCCATGCAGTGATGTTGTGTACAACCACCATGTGTTTGCTAATTGCTGCAGTTGCTAGTTTAGAGGAGCCCCAACCCTTCTGTTTTCTATTTTTTCTTGTCTTTTACAGCAAGGACTAATCAATGATAGTGGGAAGAGGGATGGAGATAAATGCAGGGCTGTCTTGGGGAGGAAAAGAAATTATCAGAGAATACAAAAGCCTGAGAATGGAGTGTCAGTTTTCATTAGACATATATTTGTGGATAACCTGAAATTGATTATCAGGATGGCCAAGATGTTGGTTATGTATTTGCAGGATGCTAACTTCACACACATACGCATGATGTGGACACATGCACAGGGGTATAAATCACTGTATCCCACACATGACGCCTAAGGTCTGGGACACACAAGAAAAAGAAAGATGATGGATGAGTGGAGGGAGGAGTATTGCAGATCATAAAAAAGATGGTGGGCTGCTCTGTGTGTCTCCTGCAAACCCACCAACTGATAAAAGAGTAGTCCCCATCGGTAAACAACAGACTCCCACTCATACAATACCCTCTCCCCTTCCCATTCCTCCCACTTCTTTTCAACATAGCTGACGTCTGTCTTTGGCTTATGGTCAAAATTCCAACAATGGTCTTTGTTTGTCACATCAGGTCTTTTGCCACAACATTTATTTGTGATATTAAAGTCGGAGTATGTAACTTTTATTATGTGTTTTTGACATTTTCTAAAAACGTAATCCTCTTCCCCCATGTGTCCCCGTTGCCCTCTTCAAAAATGCACCGCTCCAAAACAAACAACCAATGAGATTCAGGAGGAGGGTCTTAACGCAGTCAATCATTCCAACGTACGTGCTGCTCGATGTACAAAAGGCGGAGAAACGACTTACTGTTTCAGTTTATCGGCCAGCATCGGAGGACATGCTATCTAGCCCTAAGTGTTCACAGCAGACTCTGCTGATGGGAAGAAGCTGTAGAGCAGCAGAGAGCCTCTCCCCATCTCGGTCAGAATGCACACCTTCTGACCTAGCTGTGTATTTTTGTAGTTAGTAGTGGGAGAAGGCAGAGGAGCTTTTTTGTTTTCCTCCAGATTATCTGTCTCATATTATACTGTCATGATGACACAGTGATGATTTTAGTGCATATATATATATATATTACACTTTTTTTTTTTTTACATTTTAATTTGTAAAACTAAAAGAATTTTCTCCAGTTAATGAAACGGGGAAACGGCCATTGTTGCTTCAGAACATATATTACTTATAGGTATTCATTTAAAAAATATGACTTCTCCCTCGTCGATCTGTCTGCTCTGTACTTACAGACCTATAACTGATGCCCCTCCCCTGTCACTCTCTTCCCCTTTAGCTCAAACCAGGAAAACATCTGGATTTGAGATCTGAAGTCACAAACCTCCCACAATGCTTTGTGGCTCTTTTTTTTTCTTTTTCTTTTCAAGAATAGACCTTTGAAAAAGGAGCCAAGAAGTCATGAGGGCATGCACTCCTTGAATCACAGAGTTCTTAAAAAGCTTCTAAAAAAGGAAAGATTATGTGCCGCACAAACCATGTTACATTTTTCCTCCCGTTTTGCTAAAATGTGTTTCTGCGCTCCTCTTCGACTGAAGAATGAGAAATGTGTTTTTATTTGTTCTGCCACAATTTTGTGAAATGTATTTTCCACACAGACACACACACAGTCATTTTGTATTTTCACAGTCACAACTAGTTGGTTGAGGAATGAATGGATGCAGGCAGAAACCTAAGTTTAAACTTCAGCTACGGAGCGGAAAACTCCAGAATTCAAAAACTAATCATGAGCTATGCAGCAGAACCAGTAAGCCAGGAGGATCAGATAAAAAAAAAAAAACAGAACTTGTCTACTCTGCTCTGAATATTTTCTGACATCAATATATTTTTATCTTCATTTTGTTTTGTTTTTTAAATCTCTTGGATTGCAATCAAAACATGGCAATACCAGTGCAAGTAGTGATAAGATCAACATCAGAATTCAAAGACGGGTCCAGAACATGGCCAACGCATAGTTAGGCTAAACAAGTGTAACTCATCTCCTCTCATTGTTTAGTCTGTCCTCTCAGTCATTAACTTCCTTACCGCACATCTGAAGTTTGATGAAAACAAAGCCAAGACAAATCAAGAGGGATGAATAAAAAGAGATAAAACTGCTCCATTGTTATTGTGCTTGTATAATTGTTTCTAATCGTCTCAGGCGATTAGAAACAGGAATACAAAGATGTTTCATACAAAGTAATACAAAGATGTTTCAAAACTTCATGCAAAAACATTGACACCGAGATATTTTTAAGTTACTCTTGCTGAATGTTTCCCTTTCTGGAAGATTAGCCACAATTTGACATTGACACATAGAACTTATTAGTCTGCATTTCACATAAACATACTATAGTTTTTGAGGCTCCTACTTGTTTTCCCACACTTTTCCACACCATAGTATACATGGTTATCTGCCCATTTTGTGTGTATTTCAAAGCACATCCACATGGAAATAAGGGGGGAGGTAAAAATCAAAGAAAAAAAAGAGGATGGATGGATTTACACAATGACATTATGAATAAACCTATTTATTCATATATTTTATTCCCTACCTTTCCATCTATGCAGAGATTCCTGTAATTTTTTACACACATCGATATCTTCTGCTATGCTTCTAACACTTCTCCCTGTAGTGACTTTATATGTTTAAAACAAAGAGCGGCATAATGTGGAGTTTGCTTTGGTGAAATTAAACCCCCGCTTTTGCGGTGTGAGTTTGCATGCATGTGTGAGACTGCTTGTCTTCTGTCAACAGCTGTGTCAAGCCTGTCCAACAGGACCTGTGCAGTCTCGCTCTCGCAAACAGACTCTTGCTGCATCGGTCCCACTGGCTTTTTGAAGACGGAGCGAGGCTCTAATTCGTGTCACGTAAAAGCAGAGCTCTTTTGACTCGGCCTTGGCCCTTCAGCCTTCGGATAAAATAGGCCAAGGATCAGGCTTAACATCCCATCTTACTGTCAATGCTTCTAGGAGAGCGTTTACCTCTGGCAAATTGGTTGCTGCTCCACAGGATCTTTAGCAACTTTTGCCCATCTGGGTCATTATTTATTGATTCTGTTTTATAGAGTATTCATCTACAGGCAAAGTTTGCAAGCCGTAAAATGTTAAGTGTCTCCATGTGACATTTGATGCCACCTCTCTGTAGTAAAAAAAATCATCATTTTATTGTATGAACATTTTCTTCTAGTTATGAAATATTGATTTCTTTATGGGAACATTTGGTTCTGAGCCTGAACCTGTAAAGTTCTCTTTTGTCTCTTTTTTTTTTTACTTCAATTTGAAATTGATGCCAGATAATGCTCGATGCTTTTTAATGCTTAATTAGTTTCTGAGAATTCAAAACTTCAGTATGGATCACAGCTATGACTTCACTGCCCTTCCTTCTGGCCCGTGTTTTTTTTTCTTTTCTTTTCTTTTTTACCTCTCAGCCCATTCGGATCCCTCTGCCCTCTGTCTTTTCGCTGATAAGGCCTTGAGCGCTTTATCAGGACCTTTTCCTGGACCAAACACTTCATCTGCTCCGCGAAGAACGAGGCATACAGTGTGTAAGCAGGTGCTTACTGTAATCCTCGCTAGGCGACAGCATATGCCAGGCTGTTCTTTTCAGAAAGGCAGCCAGGAGAAGTCAGAGTGGAGAACTAAGCTGGCTGTGTCCCTCTTTCCCCTCCTCCATGTTATCTTGTGCCACGATAGTGCCATGTTGTTGAGTGACCCAGAAAGCAGTTCTTCTTCTGTTCAATGCATGATGCATGGTAGTGAAAGTAAGCATTTGGGCGAAGGATTTATTTGGAGCGAGACTCAAATAGTGTGAGGGGCTCTTTTCACATCAAGGCATCAAAGTTTTCATTAATGTAAGTTTTATAGTGCTTACACCCCTGTGCTGCAGTGTGAGTGCACAAGCATCTGTGTGCAACATGCAAGATGGTGTTTAATCTTAGTTAGGGGACAAACCAGATATCTGGATCAAAGGGTTGTTGGTACTGTAAGCACCCTGTAATTCCACCACTTCAACAGGCTTTGCTGCATCTCCAGTTGGTTGCAGCCTTCTTCAATCTGTTTGTGCCTCCTTGAACTCATCATGCATCTCTCTGTGTGTGTTTGTGTGTGTGTGTGTTTTTTTTTTAGACTGCTCTCTTCCAAAATGTGAATCCAAACTGGATGGTCCTGGTCAAACCTCAGGTAGGTCAAACTCCTAACGGCGCGACAGTCATTCACATTGTTTCTAAAGTATCCCAACACATTTATTTATTTATTTATTTATTTATTTATTTATTTATTTATTTATTTATTTATTTTTATATATTTTACAGTGGTCTGTATAGATTTTTCGAGGGGATTTTATAGATTTGGCGTATAACCTTGAGTTTGGATGTTTTTCAAGTCAGTGAAATTACTCTGTGTTTTTGTGTTTAATGATGTAAAGCACTTTGAAATGCCTTGCAGCTGAAATGTGCTACAAATAAAATTTAATTTGATTTCATATTAGTCTTCCGAGTTAACAATTTAATAATGTAGGAGCCATTTTTTAACCATCTGACTGGCTCTGTAGTCCAACAGATGTGGGAGGGGCAGCACTGCACTCCTGTTGTAAAGTAAAAAAATCTTAAGGGAAAGCTCAGGTTATTTACAGGTTCATTAACGTTATTTCCAGTAATAGATCCCTTACCTCCAGTAGACAGATGTTGGAACGTACTATGTTACTTCACTAAAGTTACACTGGCGAACTCTGCTGGTTCTGTCCACCCGCCTGAGCAGCTGATCCACGGAAAAAGCCGATATTTAGTCCACCAGGATAAATATATCATCTTTGATATATTTGAGTTTGAGTCTGTCAAACGACAGGGAAATTGGGTTAAATTTGTAGGTTGAAACCCACAAATTAATATATTTTCAGTTTGAAGTGTTTTGAATTGCTAAAACAGGCTAAAACAAGAGTGAGTTCATCTGACTAGCTATTACCCTTTCACTATTTATTTACTTTTCTATCAGTCTGAGAGAATCCTGATAGGAGCTTTTTGTTATTAAGGATGATAATTGTTAAAAAACAGTAAAAAAAAAAAAAAAAAAAGTATATTCTTTGACTCCGATTTCCATTGAAATGTTTCTTATTAATGATGGTTAACTTCACTGAATCTCACTTTTAAACTCTGGACTATCCAATTGGATAAATATAAATGCTATGAGAGAAAGTTTTGGAAACTGAAATATTTGCCAACCTCACTAACAAATACCAGCCCATGCACTGTGAGGAAGAATTATTCGTCGTTGTTAAAACATACAAAAAATGAATTTCATTTTAAATAAAATCTTGTGTTTTCTCAAAGCTTCCCTGAATTAAATCCCATCAGATTGAATCTCTTCCATGCACAAGCAACTCTGACCTTGTGTGTTGACATCTCCTAATGCCTCCCGGCCACTAAGACTATAAATACACCAAGTCATTCTCTCCTGGCTTTCTTGCTCATGGTCATAAAAATGCCAGTTAAGTACCCTGAATCTGGATATGCACGAAGATTATCTCAAATAAAGGGAACAAAGTATAGTTTTCCTTTTTTTTTTTTTTCCCAGTGTAATCTCCTTTGGACTTAAGTATATAAGGACGCTTTGGATATCTTCCATAATAAGTTTAATTTATGTTTTTACTAATCCACGCTTGGCCGACTGGCATACAGAGGCATTTTGTTTGCATTGCCATAGTGGGAGGAAACGGGGACAGTTTCTCTCCAGATTCATGTCATGATAGATTTGCAGTTTTGGACCACGGCAGAAGAGCTTCATCATGAGCCGATCGTGTCTGATGTCGCTCTGAGTCTGATATGCTAGACTCTGTTTGACCTGATGTTTTTTTTTTCCAACTAGGCCATGCACGGATGAAAAGAAGATTGGTTCTTATCGACAGCTTGGCCCATTATTCCCAGTTGCCAGATCGTGAATGGAAGCTAATGTGAAATGATTGAGACATGCCAGGGGAATCCCATGCCCAGACCTTTAGCCACCACCTCTTGAATTTCTCCCCTAATGCTGAACAAATGGCACAGTACAGAGCAGCACTGGTGTCTGTACATTTCTACTGAAATGAAGTAGAAATTCACAAGCTGCTAACTGCTCACTGGAGTTAATCAGGCTGTGCTGCTTATTTATGACTTTTTGTTCCTGTTTCCTTTTCAATTACTGCAAACACAATTAAGTTGCTGTCAAATGAAGCGTCAATTTAACAAACTGCCTCAAGCATCTCGGCTTACAGCAACAGGAAATTAATGGTGTTTTCTCGGAACACTGGATTCTTACATCTATTTCATCTGTTTTGCTTGAAAACTGATTAGCGGCACGTTCTGAATGAAGAACTGTCTATTTATTTATGAATTATTTTATTTGTCTAGTAGTAGGTGAACGAACGGCAGCTACGTCTGCCTGAAGTTGTGATTGATTTCTTTGTTGTTGCTCATGTTTCCTTTTAAAAGTCTTGACGTAATGTCAACTGCTTACTTCTTGTTCTTTAATTGATTAGTCAACTAGGTTAAAGATGAGTCTGTCTTCTCATGGGAATAATTTGCTGACAGCTTGATGAGGTTTTGCTTTCTTGCGGTTTTGATATTTATCGATTATTACGATTTGTGATTTGTCCTGCGAAAAGGAAGTCTCCAGCGTAAAGCAAAGCTGTGATAGAGAGTAGTTAAGAGTATATTCTGTGCCACGTATGCTCTCATGGTTGACTCAGAGTGACTCAACATTTTCACATTTCACCACGTTAAACCATATACCGGCTTGTTTCTATTTGAACTTTATGCAGCACGCCATCGGTTGTGTGAAACTATGAAGTAGAGAGAAAATTATATATAAATGTTAAAAATTCTTGCAAAATAATATTTAAAACGTGTAAAATGCATTTGTACTCTCAGTCTCTGTTACTTTGACACCCTTGGCTAAAATGTGTTAATAATGAGGCCACATTATTGAAATGCATAAAGCCAATGTGTGTGGAATGTAACATCCATATAAATACTCTATGAAAGAGTTTTGTTGGTGAACATAAGTGAAGAAACAACATGAAAAAGATCAAAGGCAGGTCAGAGATAACATACCATGAAACTTAGTGGGGACAGGTAATGAGAGGATGCTTTTTTTTTTTTTTTTTTTAGCTGGGAGATATAGAATGGTTAAAGTTGATAAAAGATGGATGGAGCTAAACACAGGGCAATCTGAGAAGAAATCCTGCAGAAGACTTGAAACAAGGGGATATGTTTACCTTCCAGTAGGACACACACCCCTTAATTTTATCCCAGTTAAAGTCTGGACCTAGAGCAAATTGAGAATATGTGCTGCAAGACTTACAAATTGATGTTCACAGCTGTTTAACTACACTGCAAAGAAGATTTGGGACATTTTTTTTCCTTCTGTACATTTGTAAAACTAATAAGAGATGTAGCCCAAAAGATTTGCAATTGTAATCACAGCATGAGGGTTTGTAGTAAAAATTGTTGACTCAGAGGGGCTGATGCCATACTTTTTTAGATAAAAAAAAATGATTTTTTTTTTTCATTTTTTGCTTTTGCTTCCATTTCAATTACCCACTGCTTTGTGTTGGCGCATTGCATCAAATACAAGGAAAAAACACAAAAGTTTATGGTTTGACAAAATGTAAAAAAAAGAAAAAGAGATACAAATACTTTTTCAGGATGTCGGTCACTTTCCACCATTTGTATTTTTGTACATGACAGGAGATTATTCTAAAAACATGCATGCATACATGTTTCTTCGTTGAGGACGCTTGTCCACAAAATCGCAAAGAGTCCCTTGCATGCACTCTTAGCTTGCATATGGGCTTCCAGACCAAGCGTGCTCAGAGTAAACAGTTGGACTGTCCCCCAGTTATGCTCTGGATCTCAATCCAAGATAATCTGCCACAGTAGCCAACTGGCTGTTGAGTCAGGATCATTCTGATCTCCTGTTGTACTAAAGGGATATAAGCATGCTTGGTATGGTGAATTAAATGGGAATTTGCCTCGCCAGCTGAAAGTGAAGATAACTTTTTCAGCACAGAGGGGGGAGATTGAGTGGTCTCCTCCTCTGCACTGCTTTCCTCTCGTCTCCGCCATATGTTTCTGTTCAGTTTAATTCAGCAGTGAGCTCAGTCTCTCATCCCTGCCCACACTGAGCTCACTGTGTGGTTCCTATTGAACTGGGCTTTGAATGCTAACCATGTGCACCGCGGGTAGACAAGCAGCCAGGCATACTCCCTCAGTCTGTCTCTCTCTTTCACTCTTTCTCTCCCTGACAGACACACACACGCACACACACACACGCGCGCGTGCACACACGGTCCTCTAAGCAGCGGAAGAAGTGGTTTCCTCAGAGTTCATTGGATTTCTGTTTTTTGAAATCGTCCCCCTGCAGAGGCCTGGATGGTGAAGATGAGGCTTAATGGTGTGTGTGTGTGTTTGCGGAAGTTGTTTATTGTGAATTAAGTTAGTTCACTTTTCAAGTTCATGTCTTTTATTTTGATGCGTTCTGTTTCTTCTTATCCCAATAACTGGTAAACATGTAAAACTACTGTAATACAGACATATCAGGTTGTTTCTGGCTGATAGGAATTTACAATTTTCTTCAAAATCTAACTTGCACATTCTGAACTTAAAAGTGTTCGAGAAAAAGTCAGATTTGTGATCACTACTAATTTACCATGAAGGATATTTGGCTCTTGTTAGTTGTGTTTATTTGTGGGTTTTAGCAGTTGTTTATGTAAAGGCCTTTCCCAGGACTGACACTGAAAAGTAGTCACAGCTATAAGTTCTATAGTATGTATACTTGTCCCTATGAAATCAACTTAAAAAGTAAATACGATGCCACTTGATGCACTGTCTGTCACAAATCAGAGCTAGTAAATGATACATAAGTGTTTTGCTAGTGAAATTTCCACCTTTGTTAAAAAAGAACCGACAGAACAAATAATCTGAACACAATAAAATTCTTCATAGGTTATATTTAAAGTCCTAACACCCAAACTGAAGATGTTGTATTTTAATGTAATGGTCAAATCCTCTACTTTATTAAGACAAATACAAATTGTTTGGTTGAACTTTATTTGAACTTGCTTGTAGAAAAAAAATAAAATAAAAATAGTGTTGCTGTCATCTAACTTGCAAGGAAGCGTGAAGGATATACAAGCAGTGTCCATCCTA